ATTCACTCACTCTCACTCTCACTCACTCACTCTCACACTCTCTAATTCACTCACTCACTCTCACTCACTCACTCTCACTCATTGACTCATTCACTCACTCTCTCACTCACTCACTTAAAAAAAAAGAAAAAAAAGTAAAAAATAAAAATGTTTTTAATCTAACTCCTAAAGAAGTCATAGTCTCAAGCAGACCCACAAGAGGGCAGTAAAACCATCTCCAGTGGCATCTCAGCTGCAAAAAGCCCCGTCCTTGACTTTTCCCTGTGGTTTCGTACAGGTAAGCCTTGCCGAAAGGCCTTTCCTGGAAAGCACTGCAGAGCTGTGGCATTTGCAACAAAGAAGCAGCAGCATCTGGATGTGAGTGGCACCTTGTTTAAGGAGGGCTCCTGAACTGTTAGAAGTCAGAACCAGGGGCTTCAGAAAGGTTGGTGGAAGCAATGTTAATGGGGTTCTCCCAGGATGCTGGGCCCAGCCCGGGCAAGGTGACCACTTTCTTGTCCCTACACCCAGCCCCGCACTGCCCCACCCAAACCCACTGCCATCAAGCCAACTGCGCCTCCCAGCCAGCAACCCTATATAGGGTTTCCAAGGGTATACATCTTTAAGGGAGCAGGCAGCCTCCTGGTTCCCCTCAGGAGTGACTGGTAGGCTCAAACTGCCAATCTTGCAGTGAGCCGCTCAGCTCTTGGGCTCTTTGGTCGGTGCCAACCAGCTGGAATTGGGCACAAGGGCTAAAGCCCAGCCACCATTCCAGAAATGAAAAATGTCCGATGGAACCAGGGGAGAAAAACAAGACCAGAAGACCAATTCCGTTCCTCACTAAGAGACACTTTCCAGAAATGTTTGTAAATCGGGGCAGCCGAGGTGAAGCACCATGAACAATTCTTGCCTTGGCAGTTCCAGTCTGGGATGCATAGAAAATCTTCACTCCCGACACCAAGACCTCCTGCTTGTGATGGGGGGCAGAGCCAGGCGTCACCAGACCCCAAGGGGCTTTTGGACCCGCCTTCTCCGGTGGGTTCTTGTCCTGGACAATAAACAAGCACATATATTCCCCATCAGATCTGAATCTTGTCCCAACTGCAGTATGACAATGAGCAGCCCCTGACCCAGTTCTTTGGAGGAGCCCTGGTGGTGTAGTGGGTTACACTGCGGGCTTATAACCACAAGGTCAGCAGTTTGGAACCACCAGCCGTTCCGCCAGAGACAGACAAGGCCTTCTACTCCTGTAAAGAGTGGCAGTCTCAGAAATACACAAGGACAGCTCTCCTCTGTGCTATTGGGTTTCCTCGGCTGCCACCTTTACAAGACAGACTGCCAGGTCTCTTTCTCCCTCGGAGCAGCTGGCAAGTTCAAGCTATCACCCTTCCATCGAGTGCTTACCCACTGTGCCACCTGAGCTCCTTCATCAAAGCAGGAGCCCTTGTGCCATCAGGCCCTTTAAAGGGAAGACCCCCAGAAGGGTAAGGGAAAGGTGGGGGGAGAAAGGGGAACCAATCACAAGGATCTACATGTAACTCTCCTATGAGGACAGACAATAGAAAAGTGAGTGAAGGGAGACATCGGTCAGTGTAAGACAAGAAAAAAAAAAAATAATTTGTAAATTATCAAGGGTTCATGAAGGAAGAAGGGAGGATGGGGGAGGGAGGGGGGAAAATGAGGAACTGATACCAAGGGCTCAAGTGGGAAGAAAATGTTTGAAAATGATCGCAACAAATATGCTAGACACAATGAATGTATGTATGGATTGTGATAAGAGTTGTAAGAGCCCCCAATAAAATGATTTAAAAAATAATAATAAAGGCAAGACCCACATTTCATAAAACACAATTCCGACTCCCATTCCCTCCAGAACAGAGCTGCACATACATTCATTTGTAACTGTTGGAATAACAGTGGAGACTTACTTTTCCGATCCTTACTTAAAATACCAAACTCACTACAGTCAAGTCCATTCTGACTCATAGCAACTCAATAGGACGGAGTAAGACTGCCCTTGTGGGTTTCTGAAACTATAATTCTTTACAGGAACAGCAAGCCTCATCCCTCTCCCATGGAACAGCTGGTGGATTTGAACTGCTGAATTTGAGGATAGCAACTCAATGTGTAAACCCCTAAGCCAGGGCTTCTTGGGCACCTTACAGAGTGGGCTAAAACCAGAAAACCAAACTCACTGCCATCAAGTTAATTCTGACTCAGAGTAGAATTGTCCCTGTGAGTTTTTGAGACTACAAATCTTTACAGGAGTAGAAAGCCTCATCTTTCTCCCTTGGAGCAGCTGGTGGTTTCAATCTGCTCACGATGCCATCAGGGCTTCTACAAAGTACACTGCTGCCCCTTGGAACCCAAGACAGGTTTTGGTTTTTGGTTGTGGTGTGTGTGTGTGTGTGTGTGTTGGTTTTTGTTTTTTCTTTCAGAGTGTAATTTTTCATTATAAAATTTTCCTGTCTCTTAAGAATGACAGTCAGGATCGACTGAATCAGTGGACTTGATCTATTTGGTTTGAAGAACAAAACATCCACAGTCCATCCAAGTAACATAGCCCATACATAACAACTCAGAGATGTTTTAGTCTGAAAAAAAAAAAAAAGTCTAGGAAACCAAGAGAAAAGTTCCTTAAAGGTCTTCTCGATTATTCTGAAAACCGCAGTAATTCTACCCATTAAATTTGCTACAAAATCTAACGCCTAGCCATCCTCTTATACGTTAAAAAAGAAGCCTGCCGGGGAACTGAAAGCACTGACGATTGTATAGCCATGGGTGGGCTTGAACAGAATTGTGCGGGAAGGGCAGAAATATATTGGAATGAGTAAGATATGTCAATAAAAATATTATTCGAGGGGAAAAAAAGAACTCTACTCACCTGCTTCTTGATGACAATGTGGGCACAAATCCAAAGGCCAATGCCAAAGGCAAAGCCCAGATATATGTAAAATCGGTTTATCCATAATGATAAGAAAGGCGAAGAGAAATCCCATGTATCCAAAGAAGGACCTAAATCTCAATGGATACAGACACTGTATTGGTAAAAATTGCATACAGAATGTTCACTGTCATCCTAGGATACAGTTTTGCGTGCAGTTACATACATAAAGATGTTAGTCCCTATGCTAAGAATGAAAAAAAAAAAAGTAACCCTCAACCCCCTTCTTATTCAGCAACCCGGTCAAGAAATCTATAGAAAAATCAGCCCTAGTAAAAATATACATACACTTTATGTTAATTGATGAAATTATCGTAATGATACAGACTCAAAAATTAAAAGGTGGAGTATAAAATTGTACTTTCATGTGGACATAAGCACTGGCAAGCACACCCATAGGCAATGAAAACCCTTAATGTGGAATCCTGAGTTTACGTTGCTTTGTTCTGCTTGTCCCGTAAGAAAAACTGCGAGTAATAGTACATTGTTGCCTATGTTTATGTTTAAAGGCCACCCTCCCTGGCTCTTTATAAAAGACCCGCAGCTAACTGACCTCTCAAGGCCCACATTTTAAAGGATGCCCAGGACCCTGGCTTCAATTATGGAACCCAGGGGGCAGGTCCAAAAAGAGAAGCCAAACAGGATAGGTTGACAGATGTAGCTGTACCCCAGGAAGGGCCGTTAGCCCCAAGACACGTGGGTCAGCAGGGAGAGGGCCGTTTTATTTGGGGCTAGAAGTTCGTTTCCTTCTTAAATCACCCATTGGCCTCGCGAGACAAAAGGCAGGCCGAAAGGAACGTGCACACCTTGTTTCCCCGCAGCGAGGCTGTCCAATGAGGGCATGGCGACCCCAGGGCGCCTGACCGCCCGGAGAGGGTCCCAGAGAAACGTTCTCCCCCCCCCAGTCCCGCCCCACGACCCTTGCCCGCAGGGGACCTTACCCATGGTCCTCAGAGCCCGGGCGCTGCCACCACACCAGACAGTGGGACCTGGGACCCTCAATGGGGGCGGGACACCGCTCGACTCAATAGTCCAGCGTGGATTTCAAGTCTGCAGCCAAGCGAACTGGGGGTAGCCATGCCACTCGCGGGCAAGGAAGCCGGAGTGCTCACGGTCCCGCCCGATTGGCTCAGGTGGGGAGAGGGCGGGCCTAAGACGAAGCTCCGCCCAGATCTCGGGGTTTGGGGCCGGAGCGTTCTCGTTCCACCGGATTGGCTCCAAGAGTAGGGGGCGTGTCTAAAATAAAGCACCGCCCAGACCTCCAGCCGCCCAAACTCACTGCTGTCCTGTGGATTCCGACCCGCAGGGACCCTGTAGGACAGAGTAGAAGTGCCCCTGTGGGTTTCTGGAAATAAAACTCTTTAAGGGAGTAGAAAACCCCGTCTTTCTCCCAAGGGTGGAGTAATTCAGGTTGGACAGTTGAGCTATTAAAGGAACCAGGGGCAGTTTAAGAAATGGGAGGAAAAAGTAGGGCCGAGGAGTGCACCCATAGAGACCTGTGGAGACTCACCCAGTTCACTATCGCACTTTTCACAACAGCCAAAAGGTGGAAACTTCAACCAGTGAACGCTGTTCTTGTTGGGTACATCCATCGACTCGGTTCCCACGCAGAAAGGCCACCATGTACCCACTGCCTGGTCCCGCGCCATCCTCACAGTCGTGGCTATGTTTGATGCCATCGTTGCAGCCACTCTGTCGATCCATCTCACCGAGGGACTTCTTTGTTTGCTGACCCTCACTACTAAGCAGGATGCCGTTCTCCAGTGACTGACTGGCATTAACATGTCCAGAATATGTAAAACTCCTGATAACATGTCCTAAGTATGTACAAGCCAGCGAGCGGACATCTGTTGTTGCTGCTGCTGTCCGTTGCCATCAGGTCAGCTCTGACCCATAACTAACTAACGACCCCATGCACAACAGAAGGAAACACTGCCGGATCCTCTGGCACCCTCACAATGGTTCCTATGTCTCAGCCCATTGTTGCTGCCACGGTGGCCATCTAAGAAGCAATTAGTAGTCTCTACCCTACAGACGGAAGAATGAAGAAAATCAAAGATGTAAGGAAACAGTCCAAAGGACTAATGGGACCACAAACCACAGCCTCCACCACCCTGTGTTTTATGGTACAAAAGAGACCCCCAATCTCAATGATAATTTAAGAGGAACATTTATCAAGTCTTAAAGCGAAAAAGACAACACAAAGTCACCGATACATCATCTGGATGAAGGAGGCCATTAGTACAAGGTCAAAATATCATCAAGGCGTGGGAAACCCAGCTTTTAAAAAAGGCAGGGGTGGGCAAAGGAAACTGTCACAGAAGCATGATCGGTGGCAGATCAAGACATCACAGTCACAGGCAGGACTACAGAAGCAGAAACCAACCGGGCCATGATTGGAACACATACACTGTAAGATAGAAGGGCTTACTCTATTGGTCCAGGGTCTTCCAACCAAGGCAGTTAAGGTAAGACTGATGGGGCATGATTCATAACTATGTGACCCTCCTATACTGTCCTCAGTATCGTGACTTCTATCAAGGACACAGCTAGACAAGCCCCTAAGAGAAAGACTGCCCTCCCTGGATCGGCTGGAGAGCAATCCATTCTTCAATCCACTCTCCAAGGCACTTTCCTGAGAGCAAGATGATCTATATCCTTGGTTAAAGATCAGAAAAAGTTCAATAGAAGCTTAATCTATGTAGGAACTCTGCAAATGGAATTGGGGCTACCACTACCATCCATTAAAAATAATAACTCCAACTCACTGCCATCGAATCAATGCTGACTCACAGTGGCCCTATAATAGGGCAGCGCAGTACTGCTCCAGTGGGATCCTGAGACTGTAACTCTCTATGGGAATAGAAAGTCCTTTCTCCAAAGGAGCAGCTGGTGGTTTCAAACTTCGGAGCTTAAGGCTCACAGCCCAACTCCTAACCACTATGCTACTGGGACCACCCTCCATAGCCTTTTATAAACCGAAGTGCTCAGAATTTAAGTTCTAATATACCTGAAACCAAATAACTAGATGGTGTCTGGCTACAACTGTAGCTCTCATCTTAACCACTGAAATTCCTAGACCAGCAGTTCTCTACCGATGGGTCACGACCCCTTTTGGGGTCAAACGACCCTTTCAAAGGGGTTGCCTAAGATCATCATAAAACATATTTTCAATGGTTTTAGGAACTGAGACATCTCGCTCCTCAATCTTAACCTTCACACTGAAGTTGGCTTTTTACGCATACTGTCGCAAAAGGTAGCCATGTCATTTACTGTTGTTACATTAAGGCTGTTATCCATGCTACACCATGCTTCAAGACAAAATTTCATTTATTTGTCATTAGAAATAAGTATTTAACAATATATAATTACAATATTGTTTTGTGATTAATCACTATGCTTTAATTATGTTCAGTTTGTAACAATGAAAATATATCCTGCATATCAGATATTTACATGATGATTCATAACAGTAGCAAAGTTACAGTTATGAAGTAGCAACAAAATAATTTTATGGTTGGCAGTCACCACAACATGAGCAACTGTATTAAAGGGTCGTGGCATTAGGAAGGTTGAGAACCACTGTCCTATAAAGAATAGAGGGGGGGGGAGTACAGAACATAATTCAGAATAATAAAAAAGTCCAGACTTCAAACCTGGCAATGAAGCCACCCCTGAGTACTACCTTAAAAGCCAAACAAAGCATAAGAGGCAAAAACTGAGACATGGACCGAAGGTAGGAACTGAGACAAGGAACGTGAAGTTAAGAGCCATCTTTATTAGGGCAGCTAAAGAGCTCCAGGGAGGGAAGGGGGAGCAGAGAAAGGGACAGGAGCATCTTGAGCTCCCAACGTTAGGTCAGGGAAATCGCGCCTGTCAGCGGCATAGTGGGATATTTGTAGGATTTGGGTCAGGGAAATATGCAAATGAGGTGACCAGCGCTGCTGGTGCTTGCTCCGATAAGGAGAAGGGAGGCTTCCTGGTGCTGCAGCTGCAGAATCTGAGTCCCTCACAGACCAGCCTCTTGGAATGTGGGGGAAGAGGCTGCACAGAACAGCTCTGGCCTTGATAGGCGGGGTGGGAGTGGGGTGTTGCATAGCTTAGCAGGCTATCTTTTGGGAGAGCTGGGGGAAGGGGCTGCATGGTCCGAACCCGGCCCAAACACACAGAACAGACCCGGCCCAAACAAAACGCAGGTCTGCAGGTCTATAACGTGAAAAGGAACACTTGTGAAGAACGTACTCCTCAGAACAGTGAAACCTGGGGAAGCAAGAGAGCACCATTTGCCCAAAAACAAAGCCCAGAAAACAGGAAGAGGTAGGATATAAACGGATCCGGGGGCTCCCAGGGAACAAGTGATGTACTATTTAGGACATAACATAACTTGCGACATAAAAATCAAACTCACTCAGGAAACCTTCACCCCAATCATATTTTTTTTAAAGCAGGTACGACAAAATGTTACCATCCTTGCTTTTGAAATGAATGGATAAGCAAAATGTGGTATTTCCATACCGTGGAATATTACTCGGCCATAAACAGAAACGAAGTCTGCTGTGTGCCGTAACAGGGTAACCTGAGTAAGCCTCGAACGCCTCACACTTCGCAAAACAAGCCCCTCCGGACGGACACTGTATCATCGCACTTTCATGACATAAGTGGAGTTTTAGGAACCAGAGCTTGTGCATGGTGGCACGGCGGTTGTGAGACAGGAGATGGGACTGAGACAGACAGGACAAGGAGAGCACGGACAGAGCCAGGAAGCCTGGAAGGGGAACGCTGACCGCTAGGACAAAGCACTTCGCGCTCTTCCGTAAAGCAAATCCGATCCTCTTTACGGCACGGCGTGCTGTCGTGAAAGCCCCGCGGCGCAGGCGTCGTCGCTCGCTTTTCCTCGCGGGCGGGGCGCCCCGCCTGACGCCTGCGCACTAAGTCACCCCGGTGCATTGCGGCGGCTGCCTGGGTCTGGTGGGGCCGCGCGCTTCGCGGTCGTTATTGGCCGCTGCGGGGACGTTACCGCAGCGCCGGTGGCGGGATCAGCCTGGTTGGCCGGACGCGAGGCCGCTGAGCAGTCACCATGTCCATCTTCACCCCCACCAACCAGATCCGCCTCACCAATGTGGCCGTGGTGCGCATGAAGCGCGCCGGGAAGCGCTTCGAAATCGCCTGCTACAAAAACAAGGTCGTTGGCTGGCGGAGCGGCGTGTGAGTGACCGGGCGGAGCGGCCCCGGTGGGGTGGGCGGGCAGGGGGGGCCCAGCTGGGGTGCGTCCCGTCGGGAAGAAGGACACGGGGGTCGCCCCTCCCTGCCGGGAGCCCCCGTCCCGAGCTGGGGTCCGTCGTGCCTGCGTGGTCTGAGTTGTCGCCGTGGGGTGGTTCAGACCACCGAGAAGCCCCGTGATTGGAGGCTCCTTTTCCGAAATAACCAAGCCCAAAGCTTCAGCTTCCCAACACTTCGCAGGTTATGGGGCCTCTGATGGCCCAGGACGCAAGCCGAACCGAACCCACCGTGCCCAGTGGTTTTTCCTAAGTGCGTAGTGACTCCGCTCCGCCCTCTAGGGACACCAGCCGGCCCTGCGTCCACACCCTTATCCCTAGCCTGTTGCACACGCTTCCCCGAGCCTTTGCTCCGCTCAGTGGCGCTCAGAACTCACGGCCGCGCCACAGTTCCGACTCCCAGCGACCCTGTAGGCAGAGAACTCCCCTGGGGGTTTCCTTCTGGGAGCAGAAAGCCTCATCTGTCTCCCAAGCCTTGGTGCGATGTGACTGCCTTAACTGAAGAAAGGCGCTGTCAGTGGGCGTTTCGAAATGGTTTCCTCCGCATTGGCCTCCCGCCTAAGGGGTGTTCCTCGCGCCCTGCCCTGTGGTGTTCACATGCGAATGAGCGCCTGTGCCCCCCAAGTTGCTCACTGGGCCCTTTCTCTCCGGCTCTCCCAAGGGAGAAAGACCTGGACGAAGTTCTGCAGACCCACTCGGTGTTTGTCAATGTCTCGAAAGGTCAGGTGGCCAAGAAGGAAGACCTCATCAGTGCCTTTGGGACCGACGACCAGACGGAGATCTGTAAGCAGGTGGGCTCCGAGGGTCACTGTTGGTTTCCTGAGCGGGTTGTCACATCCGTCTCCAGGGTGCTGCGGTTCATGGTTCTAACCATCAACCTCCAGCGCTTGAGCCCCGCACGACTTCACTGGTAGTCATTCAGGCCGTGTTTCTCGTTCGCCTAAGCCTCCAGAAATCAAGCGCTCTTCTGCAAAGTGATCTCCTGCACGTATTGTTTAAATGTACTGGTCCCGGGAATAGGGTTTAAGTATTTTAACTCCTGGGACCTTTGCTGCAAGTGCCGCTGCCCCACTCCCTGGGGCATCCTGAGTGAGTGAGATCTTTGGAGCATGTGCTATCCAGCATGTGCATCCATCGTCTCTGCCACGTCGTTCTTGTGAGTAGTTAGCGCGTGTAACAGAGGACATTGATCTGTTCTCCCCGCCCCCAGATTCTGATGAAAGGCGAGGTTCAGGTGTCTGACAAAGAGAGGCACACACAGCTGGAGCAGATGTTTCGGGACATTGCGACGATCGTAGCCGACAAATGTGTGAACCCCGAAACAAAGCGGCCCTACACCGTCATCCTCATCGAGAGGGCCATGAAGGACATCCACTACTCGGTCAAAGCCAACAAGAGCACGAAGCAGCAGGTGCGTGAGGCCAGCGCCTGGGAGTGCACCACTGAGGGCAGTGTTCCCCACGGATTGTCCAGAGGGTGCCTGCGCTCCAGAGACTAGTCAGTGATACTGCCTGGGTGCCAGCGTTTTGCTTTGTGCCCTTTTGAGGGGCACTGATGGGCTACAGAGAGAGGTGCTGTAATTGTTGGGGGGGGGGGGAGTAACCAAACACCACATAAGAGTCCCGTTTTCAGCCAAATTATCCAAAACAAGCCTTTAAAGATGACACTTAGATTTTTGACACTTAGATTTTTCAAGGGTTATTTTTTAGCTTTTATCATTCGCTTACCTTAAAGATCACCCTTTCAAGATGTACATGTCAGCATTTTCAGAGTTTTGCAACTCTACCCACTGCCTCACTTCAGCTTCACTACCCCATAGAGACCCTGTGCCCATTAGCCCAGCTCCCTCTGCCCCAAGGGCCCTATCACTTGCCCTACTTTCCTTCGCTGTGGATTGGTCTAGAGTTGGAATGGACTTGAGGCAGTGTGTCATGGTTGGTTGGTTTCTAAGTTTGAGCTTATCACATAAGTGGAGTCAGACATTAAGTTGCCTTTTTATGTCTGGCTTCTTCGGTGAAGCAGAGGTTTTCTACATCCATCCCTGTCATGTCTGCACTTTTCGTGGCTGGATGATATGCCATTACAGGGGGATACCATATTTGCTTGGGCGCTTTGGGGGGTTTCCACTTTTTGCCACTGTGAACAATGCTGCTTTGAAACGTGTGCGCAGCTTTTGCATCGCTGTGTATCTTCCTGTGCCTTGCTGCATTCCTAAGAGTGGGCGTGATGGATGCTGTGGCTGGTGTTCCATCCAGGGAAGAGGCCTGATCCAACGGAGAACAGCTGTGGCTTGAGGACCCTGTGAAAGTGGCAGAGGAAGTCAAGGGATTGTCAGCGTTTTCCCCCTGTCTCGGCAGGCACTGGAGGTGATCAAGCAGTTGAAAGAGACCATGAAGATCGAGCGTGCTCACATGCGGCTGCGCTTCCTGCTGCCCGTGGGTGATGGCAAGAAGCTGAAAGAGAAGCTCAAGCCCTTGCTCAAGGTCATAGAGAGTGAAGACTACGGTCAGCAGCTGGAAATTGTAAGATTAAAGTACTCTTCTTTCTTTGCCCCCGTGCTGCCAACATAGTTTATTCTCTAATCATAAAGTTAACAAGCATCTAGAAGGTGTGAACAATGAGCTGCTTCTGGAAACATCTTTCTTAGTCCTAGATTAAAAAGTCAGGATGTAAGTAGAGCTAGTTTATTGCAGCTAGTGTGCGTACACCGTGATCTGCTCATTTCCGGCTGGGTCCGGCCCAGCTCAGTGACAGTACACCAGAGCAGACCCCAATATTTTAAACATAGGTGAACCAGAGGGGGAATATGTCATCTCCCTCTTGGAAAAGATGGGCGGCATGTGTTGCATAGCAACCAGATGTCTTGCACCGCAGAGTTGGAAACAATGCCCGGGTCAGCCAACCATGCCCTTGGAATGTGTGTTGATCTCACAGTCCCGGCAGTGATACGGTGGAAGCCATCAGGCTTCCAGGCCTCCCGTTCTGGAGCTTTGACCCGGAGCTTTCCCCATTCCAGTTAGGAACCCCCACTTCTACAAATGCCGGGCTGCTCTGGTTTCTCTGGCCCCAAACTGAACCAATCCAAACCAGTTAGAACCCCTAGGTGGTTTTTACGTACTACAGTTTTGTTCTGTTCGTTTTAGATGCAAAAACATTTTATTTACTTTTTTTATTGGTCCATCGAAAGCAATATTTATTTTACAAAGAAAGACTGAAAAAACTAGAGAAATAAATACTACTTTATATGCTAATAGAATTGTACGGGAATCCTGAAAAAATTAATGTTGCAACTCATTAGGGAAAATAATTTAAATAAAACATTTAGTAAATTGAATGTTACAAATTAAGGAATGGCAGGTTTGAGGTATGTACATGTGTAGGTGATATAATCTCATATACACAAAGTTTTTTCAAGTGAATAAATTATCAGATAGTATGAAATACATGTATGCCAAGAATACATTTTTAAATGAAAAAATATACATTTTGAATAATCTTTGATTTTATGATGTTTGGTTTAGAGTGGAATTCAGTCTTTATGAAAATGCAAAAACATTTTCTAATGAGGCTTCTCATTAGGAAAATAGAAGTAAAAATCAAAGCTAGTAAGCTGGCTTTGCCAGAGAGCCTTTTAAAGCAGCATGTGCTTGGGGCCCAACCCCACATCTCCAAGGGGAAATGAGGAGTCAGTCTTGAGGGCGGGAAATATTCTTGACCAGGAACTGAGCTGTGGGAATTGTTGATCATCAGGAATGTTCCCTTTAGATGTGAAACAACACATCTGACCTCTGAAGCTCTAAAATCGTCCCAGAACTTTCCATAAAGTTTATGAATTGACCTTCCAACTTCTTGGAACCCGAGATAGAGGTGATTTCACTGCATTATAAAATTTAATGCTGAACATTAAAAGGACCACCATTCTCTAGTCCACCCGTACCCCCCTTGTTTCCCTGGGGACCCTGGATCGGTCTGTGAGCAGGGAGGCCTGTCCCTGGGCCTCCCCTGGGTACCGAAGAAGGGCAGAGCTAGGACTAAGGGCAGGCCTGCTGCCCAACACTTTCTTTTCTCTCCTGGGAAATAGCGTTCTAGATACCCAGAAAGCAGTGCGTGTTTTATGACTGCATTCGTGACTGTCTCCATGTGACTAATAGCTCCACACCCTGTTTCAGGTGTGTCTGGTTGACCCTGGCTGCTTCCGGGAAATAGATGAGCTCATCAAAAAGGAGACGAAGGGCAAGGGGTCTCTGGATGTGCTCAGCCTGAAAGACGTGGAAGAAGGAGACGAAAAGCTGGAGTGAGGGTGTCCTGCTGCCCAGCTCTAAAACACAAACCTGTTTACTTTTCCGATGTGATAACTGTTGTATTTCTGCCAAATCCTCGCTCAGATGATTTGAAGCGCTCCATGTGTGTCAAAACATGCACACAGGAAAGGAAGTCTCCCCCCTCCAGAAGTGTAAGAATGTGGGATTAATTCTCTTGTAATTAGAGGTGGGGCCAAGGCTGGTGTTTGGCTGTCTTGTCCCTTTGTGGGCCTCTCAGGTGGAAGCTCTGTGAGCCCGCTGCTCTGGGTGAGTCTTGGGGAGAGGTTGCAGGTTGCTGTGAGGTTACTATTGAAGGGGTAGTTTTGTGTGAGGGCACAGTGTGTGGAGAAGGAAAGCTGTCTTGTCTTCTGATACCATGGTGAGAAGTGTACAGAGAGGTGACCATATATCATGGGGCACAATGTGCACTGTGAACGTGTGAAAACGGCACCCACGAGGACTGTGCAGGGTTCCAGCCTTCCCACTGACCATGACCCCAGACCCTCAGTGGTTCTCAAGTCATGTGCCCTCATTCTGAAAGTGTCTAATATATACTAATAGAGCTGAAACAATATACACTCAATAAAGCTGTCCTTATTTTGATCAAACTGTGGTTTGTGCTTTGAGACAACTCCTTTTTGTCTAGAGTAAGGCAGGGGAGTAAGTGGGTCAATAAGCAAAGTGCTTAGGACCTGCCCTGATTAACAGTCTTCAACAATAACCCATTGCTGATTCTCACCCACAGCAACCCGCTAGAATAGAACTGCCCAGAAGGGTTTCCAAGGCCAAACTCTTTAGACACAAGGAACACAGAAGTTGAAATTGTCCAGATCTCATTTTTGGATTCACAGTCAAGGCTCATGGAAACAGCAGTCAATGTGGGAAGGGAAGAGAAAGCAGCAGGCTAGATTGTTGACAGGTATTCAGTGGGATGATATGGGAGCTAGCAGTTCACAGTGGGAAAAGGGAAAGCAAGGATCGGGTGAGAGGGATGCCATTGGAGGGGTGCATAGGGAAGGGTTAGTTTAAATTAATGAAATGAAACCCTCACCTAATTTACAATACCAAGTTATTTGAAAAAGAAATCAATTTGGCCAAATCTGCTCTACAAGACCTCTTGAGCTGTCCCTCTGGGGACGAAGGTGTGCCCGGGTGGAGCCCGGGCATCTTCACTTACCGCACGGGAGAAACGGACAGTAAATGAAGTAGGCTGCAAAAACGGGGAAGCGTTTAAATTCGGTGTTGAAGACACCACGGAAGGCCAGAACAACCAACCAGTCTGTCTGGGAGGAAGTGCAACCAGAAGGCTGCTTAGAGGTGCGGACGGCAATACGTGGTCTGACGTAGTTTGGACATGTTACCAGGAGGGACTGGTCCCTGAGAAAAGACATGCTTGGTGGAAGGTCAGTCAAAAAAAGGAAGCCCACCAATGAGATGGACTGACACAGTGGCTGCATCAGTGGGCTTAAACATTAACGAAGGTGAAGAGGGTGGGGACCGGCAGTGTGCACCCTGTTGAGCCGGAACCAATCTGAAGGTACCCGACCACGTCAACACACCTGACACCACTCTTCAGGGAAGCAAACGGCCACATCTTTCTTCCCCAGTGGCAGTTGTCTTTGAACTGCCCACCTTTGGATTAGCCTCTGGGCACTTAACCACTGCTCCACCAGAGCTCCTTAACACTGAATAACACTAAGGGTCCATGACAAGTGTGTCACATCGTCTTATAAAATACATATTCTTAAAGATTTCCTCGTACTACAGATACAGTATATTCTACAGTAACATTTTATCTGGAAAAGACGCTAGTGGTTTCAAACTTGACCTTGCAATTAGCAGCCCCACACGTAACCATTTCACCAGGGCTCCTTGGTGCTGGAAAAAGAAAGCTGTTAACATTTAAGTTACCTTGAAACTAACAATGAACCAAGGTTAAAATTCTATGGAGCTGGAAAACCAAAAAGGCAAGGGAGCATTTTGAAATTCAGAACATTTACTCAGCATTTAAAAAGGAACCATAATCCTTTCCTCCCTCAGTCAAGTGTTGTGCCTTCCCATAATTATCCAAAAGGCTTTTCACAAGCCCTGACCATCATTAGGACTTTGCCGGTTTGAAATTCCCAGGCACTCCAGGAGGGAGGTGGGTGTGGCAGAGTTAGGGGAGCCAGGGTCAGTAGTCAGGGCTCCAGCACGGCCCCTGCCAGCCACCAGCCTTGCATTGGCACTCCCTTTCCCGCCGGTGGATGGAAGGTGGGTCTACCAGTCATGGTTTAAGTTCTTTGAGTGAGTAGGGCACGTACCTCAAGTTCCATTTCAGATTTCAGTTATTTGAAAGAAAAAGGTTTTGTTTTTAATGCTCCCTTTGTCACTCTGGCTCAACGTGTACCTGTTTGTTTGTTTTTTTTTCTTTAAAAAAAAAATCATTTTATTTGGGGCTCATACAACTGTTATCCCAATCCATACACCCATCAATTGTGTAAAGCGCATTTGTACATCGTTTCTCAAAACATTTTCTCTCCATTTAAACCCCCGACATTAGGTCCTCATTTTCCCCCTCCCTCCACGTGTACCTGTTTTGTCGACTGTTTCAGAACATCAGTTTTTGTTTCCACCGATCGTTTTTCCCATTTCATTCACCTCCGTTCTACTCTTTATTCCTTTTTTCTGTCCATTTGAACTTACCTTGCGTTTTCTAGTACTCGAGTTGTAGAGTCGTGCTCCTGAGGGCTGTCTTAAGGAACACGTGCGTTACAGCTACCTATAGCCCTGCCCAACGTCACTGCACCAGCGGTCTTGCTTTTCAATTGCCTCTCGGTTTTCCTTTTCCCTTTTGTGACTGGTGTGTGGATTGGTTGCTTTATAGGAGCCCTGGTGGAGTCTTAACAGCTGCTAACTGCAAGGTCAGCAGTTTGAAACTACCAGCTGCTCGGGAGAAGCACGACTAGGCTTTCTACTCCTATAGTCTCTAAAACCCATAGGGGCAGTTCTACCCTGACAGGGCCACTGTGAGCCAGCATCGACTTGCGTGTATCCATGTCCCTGCATGTGTGCTTTTGGTTGGTGGGGGGGGTTCCAGTTGTGTGATGATTATGGTTTCGTGACTGACTTCAACACTGAAGCGTATCGGGCTGTTTTGTAGCCACAGATGGTCTGGCCTGGAATGGACAATCCCTGGGCACCTGGGAAGAATGTGCATGTGCTGCGGTGGGGTAGTGTAGCTGGCTTACAGCATTGGTCGAGCCTCCTCTGCCCTCATGAACCAGGACTGACAGTGGTGTAGTGAAGCCCGGTGATTATGGCACAACTGCTGCTTCTCCTTTCAAATCGGTTATGGATTAACTCATGTCCCTGCCCTCAGAAAGAGAAACTGATGTCGTCACCCCTGCACCTGTGGAGGGGACCTCGTTCATACCCAAGGTTGGGGTGTCTCAATTCCAATCTGAGTGGTGCCTGGAGTGGAATCATGGGGACAAAATCACAGATTGGGGGGGGGGGGAGGAACGCTGCACAGAAGGGTCTGTCCACAAGCAGAGGGCCGCCAGGAGCTGCTGGCTGCAATGACCTTACGAGCAAGGCATGGAAGAGGAAGGAAAAGACGGGCAGGAGCCTGGTTCAGATTCCACTCTCCAGAACTGAGAAACGTCTGTTCTTCAAAGCCAGTGATTCTGAAACTGCAGATGGCCTTCCGTTGGTGGGGTTTAGCTGTAATTAAACGATGGCCGTTTTAAAATGTCAAGCCTGTTCTTGCGTGTAGGGAGGGAAGTTACCATGTCACATGACCTGTCCAGATGGAGATGGAAGATCATCCAAATAACAGACAGGGAGGACCCACGGCCCCAGGCAGCATGGCTGTTGGTGGGAGGCGAGCACTGGGCCCAGTGTGATTCACGGGACATGGCTTCTCACCGCTCTCAAACCATGGTGGTTCCCCTAGGATGGACAGCTTGCATGGCAGACAGCCCGTGGGGACTTTAGGGTAAACACGTGGGCTCTGTCACAGCCAGCCACCGGACAGTTCCTTGGGGAACTGTGTGGAACCGAAAGCTAAGGGACCTGGCTCCCCAGGCCACAAGGAGCTTGGCTGGACGCTGTAGTGCCTCCTCCTGCTGTCACTCTTGCTGGCTTGGGACTCTGGAGGGCACTTTAAAAGCATGGGGTCCCCACTGAAGGAAAGGCTCGTTTGGCGTGGACTTCCTGTGTCAGCCTTGACGGTGACGCTATGGAAGACATGTTCTGAGGGTGTGAGGGAGGGCACACACACCAGTGAATGCGGCCTGAATAGCACCAAAGATGCAGGGATGCTGGTCCCCCTACTTCAGCCCAACGTGCCAGACAGCACGGGAGGCAGAGCCCCGGGAGCCATCCCACTCCCGAGACGCTGCTCCCAGGCGCCTGCAGATGGTTCCTCAGTGCATCTGCTGACCACTCGAGAGCAACTGGTGACTGGCCGCTCTGGGCTGGGCAGCACGGGGTGAACAGACCTCTGCCCTCCAGGAGAGGGAAGCACTTCCGCTGGTGAACACAGCCTGGTTCCAGTGGCTGGTGCTAGGGCGTCTTGAACATGCAGCCACTCTGAGGTCAGGAAGGGGCACAGTTGTGGCGGGTTTTGGGGGTAATTGCATGAAGGGTGATGTAGCCCAGAGAGGCAGTTATAGACCGGTGTGTGGCAGAAATCATGGGGGATGCCTACCTCTGTGGCTGTGGCCCTTGGCTGTGGCCTGGGTTCCCATTGGGGCATCCAGGGTGTGCCTTCAATCTATCATTGAGTGACAGGAGGGATGGAGCAGGCACGGATGGAGAGAGCCCGTTGCCCTGTGGGGAAGTAAGAGAAACAGAGACGAGGATGCTTCTAGAGCCAGTGGCCTAAACTCCAACGTCTGGCCTCCTGAATTGTGAGGAAGCAAAATTCTGTTTGTTAAAGCCACCCCTCTCTGGGGGTGCCTTGGTTACAGCTGCATTAAGAAACAAAGACAGGCTTCCTTAAGAACAAGAAAAAATTCTTAGCTCTCTTCCCAGCTAAGCCAAGGACACAGAGACACAGCAGGTGAGTTCAGGTGTTTTATTCTCAGAGCACAGGCACACAGATCGCAAACACGGACAAGTAACCTGGGGGTGGGTGCCGTAACAAATCCGCTCCTGACCGTCATGCAGTGGGGTAAGTGGAATGGGTCCGCTGGCCCTCATCGCCCCACAGCACCCAAGAGGGGGTCCGGAAACCAGGAACTCGTGGGCTCCCTGGAGCCCGCCAGAGAAGACAGAGGCCGTGGCAGGTTCCTGGTGACGGGGACAATTTACAGGCAGAATCAGAACTGATTCAAGTCACACAGGGCTCGGGCAGAAGGGAAAAGGCAAGATCAATATGATCCAAAACAACCATTCTCATAGGCAAGCACTGACCTGTGACGGGACTGCCAGCCCACAATGTCAGAGGATAAACCTGTGCTCCCATGTGGGGTGGTCACCTCCCAATGGCCAATGGTCCCACCTAGGAGACCCTTCAAATCCTGAGGTCCACCAGCAGACCCCAGCTGAAGAGCAGGCCTGCTCTAAGGCCTAGGTAGGGAAAGTCCCTGGACCCCAAGACCCATGGAAGTCTTGTCATCAGGGCCCCAGGCCACCTCGTCAGCCTCCTGCCCAAAGCCAGTCACCTCTGGGCTTCTACGGCACCGCGGAAAAGTCCCCATGAGGGTGAATTCCAACGGGAGGTGAGTGTCCTGACTTTGTGACAAGTCACACTGGCCTGGCATTTTTTGCACATCCTTTCCTCGTGCCTAAGAGTGTCTTCCCACCCCTGGCCACAGAGTCCAGCCAGCTCCTGCTACTAAAATGAGGGCCACTGGTAGGAGCCACAAACGGGAACGGACTGCACCCACCCACCTTGCTCCTCCTGGGTTCAGCTGCAAGGAACAAACCTTGTCCTACAACCACTTTGGGGATAGGGAGGGGGGTCCCTCACCAGCCCAGCAGCAGCTTCCCGTAAGATCAGTTGACACTGATGGTCCAGAAAGCCAACCCAAGTAGCTCTTTCTCACTCTGGTCCCAGAAGGCCTGAGTTGCCAGAGCAAGCAGAGGTAATAAGAGAACAGCAGGGAGGGAAAAGTGCAATGTGCCAACCAACAAGGGCTGGCGGTG